AAGTCTACTAAATTTTTGTTGGAGTCTTTGGGGTTTTCTAAGTATAGTATGTCATCTGTGAATAATGACAGTTTCACTTACTCCTTCCCAATTTAGATCCCTTTTGTTTTTTCTTCCTGTCTGATGGCTGTGGCTAAGACTTCCAGTACTATGTTAAATAAGAGTAGTGAAAGTGGACATCCCTGTCTTGTTTCTGTTCTAAAGAAAAATGCTTTTAGTTTTTGCCCATTAAATATGATGTTGGCTGTAGGTGTTTTATATATAGCCTTTATTATATCAAGATATGATTCCTCTATTTCCATATTGTTGAGTGTTTTTATCAGAAATGGGTGCTGGATGCTGTCAAATGCTTTTTCATCATCTATTGATATGATCGTGTAGTCTCTATTCTTCATTTTGTTTATGTGGTGTATCACATTCATTGATTTGTGAATATTGTACCTGCCTTGCATCCCTGGGATGAATCTCACTTGGTCATGGTGAATAATTTTTTTGGTGTATTGCTGTATCCGATTTGCTAGTATTTTGTTTAGAATTTTGGCGTCTATGTTCATCAGGAATATTGGCCTGTGTTTTTTTTTTTTTTCTTTGTAGTGTCTTTTTCTGGTTTTGGAATTAGAATTATGCTGGCCTCATAGAATGAGTTTGGAAGTCTTTCTTCTTTTTGAATTTTTTGAAATAGTTTGAGGAGAATGTGTGTTAGTTCTTCTTTGAATATTCAGTAAAACTCCCCCGTGAAGCCATCTGGGCCTGGGCTTTGGTTTGCTGGGAGAGTCTTGATTACCTCTTTAAATTCCTTAGTTGTTATTGGTCTGTTCAAGTTTTTTATCTCTTCCTGATCCAGTTTTGGGAGACTGTGTGTTTTTAGAAATTTGTCCAATTCGCTTAGATTGTCAAATTTATTACCATATAATTGTTCATGGTAGCTGTTAACAATCTTTTGTATTTCCATGGTGTTGGTTGTTACTTCTCCTCTTTCATTTCTGAATTTGTGTATTTGGGTTCTCTCTCTTTGTTTCTTGGTGAGTCTAGCTAAGGGTCCATCAATCTTGTTTATCTTTTTGAAAAACCAGCTCTTAGTTTCATTGATCCTTTGAATTATTTTTTGGTCTCTATGTCATTTATTTCTTCTCTGATCTTTACTATTTCCTTCCTTCTACTTGGTCTGGGATTTTCTTTTTGTTTGTTTTCTAATTCTTTAAGTTGTGAGGTTAGACAGTCAATTAGTAATTTTTCTCGTTTCCTGAGGTAGGCCTGTAGTGCTATGAACTTCCCTCTCAGAACTGCTTTTGCTGCATCACATAGACTCTGTGTTGTTGTGTGTTCATTTTCATTGGTTTCCAGGAAGATTTTAATTTCTTCCTTGATCTCCCTGGTAACCCATTCATTTTTTCATAACATGCTACTTAGCCTCCATGTGTTCAAATGCCTTTGCATGTCTTTGTTGCAATTCATATATAGTTTCATGCCATTGTGATCTGAGAAGATGCTTGATATGATTTCAATCTATTTGAACTTGTAGAGATTTAGTTTGTGTGCTATCATGTGGTCTATCTTTGAGAATGTTCCATGTGCACTTGAGAAGAATGTGAATTCTGTAGTTTTGGGGTGTAATTCTCTGTAGATATCTATTAAATCCATTTGGTCTAGTGCTTCATTTAGAGTCTCTGTTTCCTTGCTAATTTTTATCTAGAGGATCTATCCAGTAGTGTCAACGGGGTGTTGAAGTGCCCTGCTATGATTGTATTGCTGTCGATTTCTCCTTTGAAGTCCTCCAGATGATTTTAAATATATTTTGGTGCTCCTATATTGGGTGAATATATGTTTATCGAGGTTATATCTTTCTGTTGGATAGATCCTTTCAATAATCTGTGGTGGCCTTCTTTGTCTCTAGTCATGGTCTTCATTTTGAAATATATTTTGTCAGATATAAGTATTGCTACCCCAAATTTTATTTTTTTTGCTTTCCATTTGCTAGGAAAATTTTTTTTCCATCCCTTCACTTTCAACCTATGTGAGTGTTTTGTTGTGAGGTGGGTCTCTTGTAAGCAACACATAGATGAGTCATGCTTTCTTTTCCAATCAGCTACTCTGTGTCTTTTTATCGGAGCACTCAGTCCATTTACATTTAAGGTGATTATTGATATGTACTTATTTATTACCATTTTTGTTTAGTTTGGTTCTATTTTTCTACTTCTTTGGTTCTATTTCTTCTACTAATTATAGCAGTCCTTTTTACATTTTTGTAGTGCTGGTTTGGTGCTAATGTAGTCCCTTAGCCTTTTTTTGTTTGTCTTGGAAGCTCTTTATTTGAACTTCTATTTTGAATGACAGCCTTGCTGGGTAGAGTAGTCTTGGATTCAGATCCTTTTCATGACCTTAATTACTTCATGCCATTCCCTTCTACCTGTAGTGTTTCTTCTGAGAAGTCAGCGGAGAGCCTTATGGGGGTTCCTTTGTAGGTAACCTGTTGCTTATCTCTTGCTGCTTTTAGGATTCTCTCTTTGTCTTTTATGTTTGACATTTTAATTACTGTGTATCTTGGTGTTGTCCTTTTTGGGTTCTTCTTATTTGGGGCTCTCTGTGCTTCTTAAACTTGAGTGATTTCTTCCTTCACCATATTAGAAAAGATTTTTGTCACTATTTCCTTGAATATATTCTCTAACCCTTGCTCATTTTCTTCTTCGGGGACTCCTATGATGCAAATATTATTATGTTTCCAGTTGTCCCACAGTTCTCTTTATCTCTCTTCATGTTTTTTAATCGTTTTTTTCTTTTGGTTTTCTTATTGGTTGATTTTTTCTACCCTGTTTTCTAATTCGCTGATTCGGTTCTCAGCTTCATCGACTCTGCTCTTTAGACCTTCCAATGTGTTCTTTATTTCTGATATGTCACTCTTGATCTCTTTCTGGTGGTTTTTAATTTCCAGTTGGTTTATTTTCAGCATCTCTATGTCCTTACTCATGCTGTTGAGCTTCCTGAAGATCATGGCTCTGAATTCTAGCTCTGTTAACATGCCTAACTGCTCCACTTTGATATCATCTTCAGTGGAGGTCTCTTGTTCTTTCATTTGGCTTTTGTTTTTGTGTTTCACCATTTTGGCTATCACAGAGGGCTTTGGAGCCTGCCAAGATTTCCCCGTGGGTATTGGTGTTCTGCTGTTTGTGGCTCACTCTCCTGGGTTTAGATGAGCAAGGGAGGACCCATGTTAAACACCACTGTCAATTCTTACTTTCCTGGTTAGAGTTGCTTGCCCAGGAATGGTACTGTTATCCTCTAGCTTTTTGCCTAAAGCCTAGCAGTCCAGGTTACTTGAAGAGTTTTAGATTGTCAGTTGATTGAAAAACTCCCTTAGGTGCTCAGCATAAGGGGATTTCCTGAGAGTGGGGCAGATGCTGGTTATTAATAAGCCTCAATTTGTATTTCAGTGGCCCACAGGGTGGGGTTGAATCTCCGAGGGAGGGGCTGTTACCTCTCCCCAGAGCCCTGTGAAGGAGCAATATGGCTACAGTCCTGCGTGGCTGCACTCAGCCAAAGCTCTGAGCACCCTCCAAATCCCGAGTGTCCCTACACAGTTCTAGTCCAGTCTGCCCTCCCTCTGTCGGAGCCCATGGTGAGTGGCTGTGGCTATTTTAGCCTCTGTCCTGGCTCTGCACTGTGAAGCCATTTGGGAGTGTAACCCAAGGGTGCTGTTGACAGCTAAGGCTGCTGCCAAGCTGCTTACTGTGGGCTCCCAGCTCCTGACTCATGCCTTCGCCATCCTATGAGGATCAAGTCAGTGTCCCTTGTTATATGGTTCTTGTAAGCTGCTTTTCTGTTGCTTTTTCCTGTTGATTTGTCTGTGTTTTAGTTGTAATTTCAGTTTGGTCCTGGGAGGCAGTCTGTGTAGCTTCCGTTCAGTCCGCCGCCATTTTGGAAATCTTAACTGTTACATTTTGAATAGAAGCAATGTTTTATTTCAGAGAAGTAAATGAAGGTTGGAATGTTTAAAAAATTAATGATACACAGGTTTGCATCAACTGAAGACAGACATATTCTATATTAAGAACAAATGATAAACTTTACAACACAATCATCAACACTTGCAATATGATTTAAAAGAAGTTTTATGCTCCAAATCCTGAATGGTGAGTCCTATATATCAGAGGGCACATGCAAGTTCACACAAGGACAAAACACCAATTAAATGATTCAGTCTCTCATCTAAGGCCCATCAAATAGATAAATCTGGAACATCTTTGGACATAAACTGATTTTTGAAACTCAACCAGCATTCTGGGATCTTGGAAAAAGTAGCAGCAAAAAAGTCAGTATTTGCTCACATCGATGTTTCTCTCTCTCTCCCTCCCACTCTATCTGAAAAAAAAAAAAATGTCCTCAGATGAGGAAAAAAAAAAGATTGGTCAAGAATACTGGGAGGAGTAGAAGGCAAGGGGGAGGGAGAGGAGGCACTTGCCCCACTTCCCTTGTTCATCTACTACTTCCGATTCTGTAGGGGCCTCCTGGCTATGTTTAGTAGTGATTGCACACTGACAGTACTGATAGTTTCTGTATTTTAGTCTCAGAGCTTTCGATCCTTTCATTCTCTGTCAGTGAGTTTCTGCCCCACATAATGGGTGTATACAACTTGCCTCTATCGTCAATCCCTTGGGGGACTAATTAAGCTCAGTCATCCCTGGTGACCCCTGGGCAAACTGCAAGGACAGAAGTATTACCAAGCATGTCTGTGTGTGCACGTTGATAGTAAAACACAAATCTTGCAAGGATATTCTTCCAATTGCCCTGTGTGGGGCTGGTGGGTACAAGGCAGGGAGGGAATCAAACCCAGTGACAATAACCAAGCTGCTAAACTGCTGAGCTGGTTTTAATTGAAGTGTGAGAAGGAGGTTCTAAGGCAGGTAGGCAACATCCTGTTGTTTGGGCGCTCTTCTCTTTTTTTTTTGCACATCTGGCTTAACTGGGACTCAGGTGGCTGACTGGTACTTGATTGCAGCAGCAACAGCAGCAACAGCAGCAGCAGCAGCAGCAGCAACAGCAGCAGCAGCAGCAGCATCTCCTTTCTCCTGGTCCATACTTCAAACTGTACAAGAGTTTATCAGGCCATGGATGCGGTGGCTGTGTATCATGGCAAAATCAGCCGGGAAACAGGGGAAAAGCTCCTACTTGCCACTGGTCTGGATGGCAGCTATTTGCTGAGGGACAGTGAGAGTGTCCCAGGCGCATACTGCCTATGTGTACTGTGAGTACGTCATGGTGGCTGGGTCCGGGGCTTGTAGAGGGTGGGCACGGGCAGTAGGCACAGGTGGCAGGGGCAGGCAATGTGCAGGCAGCAGGAGCTCATCCAGACCTCCTCCACCCACCCACCTGACGGCCTCTTGGGCTTCCTTAAGTCCAGCCCAGGGCCATGGTGTACCATGCTTTGGCTTAGGCCCCTCACTGTGGATTTCACTTCCTGGGCCTCCCAAACTCCATAAAGGCCTCCCCAGGATCTTTCGGTACAGCTTCAGAGAATGCCCTTTTGAGTGGGGAAATGAAGTCTGGAATGTACCTTTGCTCTGAGAAAGACCCAAGATCCCGATTTATGACTTCCCTTTTGACCCCTAGTAGACTCCAGCAAGGTAGAGCACTGAGATAGAGGAGCAGCCAGATTTGGAGCCATCAGCTCCTGAGAGAAGTAAAGACTTTTCTCCCCAGCTCTCTATAAAGGTATCATCCCAAAAGAAGACCATCAAATTCAGGGAAAGGAAGCAGACTAGAAATTAAATAATTATTTTGAGAATGCAATGCCAATTCAGTAGGATGCTGAGAGGAGTATGTTTGTGAGTAAAACTGCCTCTCTGGATCTGCTTATTCAGCTTCCTTTAGAAGAGTTGTGTATGGGGCAGGACCCTTTCTTGATAAAAGCTAGGACAGACAGTAGTTGTAAAGGACATGAGGGGAAAACACCCTTGTTATGAATCAGCTTTGCCCTTTACCTAGGCACGTCTATGTCTAATGCCCCATTTTGAATGAGATACAACTTTTGCTTTGCTCCAGGGCTCCAGAGTCATGCAGATCTGAGACCTAATCCTGTGCTGGTCTAATGCTAGGTTTGTGACTTCAGCAGGTTAGCTTCTTAGTCCTCAGTTTTCTTATCCATAGAACAAGTATAATTACTACCTACCTCATAGAATTGTGAGGATTAAAGGACATAATACAAGTAAAAAATTGAGCACTGGAGCTGAGACATACTAAATATTCTATAAATGTAAGCTATCATTACTATTATATACTTTTCAGTCAATTCTTTCCCTATCCATGGGCATTTCTAAGGAAGTGCGTAGCTCAATTAATTTTTGTCAGCAAAATAAAAACACTTATGAAAACACCAGCTCTGCACAGTAGGTTCTAGATAGAAACAAAATGAGGGGAAATGCTTGAAATTTAATTTTGCTACCTAATGATACACTGCAAGGTTTTAAAGTACCTTCTGGGTCAGTGAAGAAAGATTATACTGAGGCTGGTAATAGAAGATTTTCATTTTTTGTTTGTTTATTTATTTATTGGTCAACACATGTTTTTGGCAATTCTCAGGCCATGCTAAATGCATTTATTATAAACGCTTCAAGGGAAATACATGGGAGCTATTTATTCTCTTGTGCTCAGATATTTATGTTTTGCTTATATTACTGTTTTTTTCCAAGTGGAAACTGGGGAAGGTCAATAAAAGCCAAGTATTCTTAGGCTCAGTTATTATCAAAAGAATATGGAAGAGTGAGTAGACCGAGAAAGGGTCTTCTTTAACGAAGCTGACATAATGGGCCCCTTAACCTAGAGCTAAAAAAATAAAGTACAAAAAAAAAAAAAAAAAAAAGGTAGAGGAGGGAGAGTAGGGGACAGAGCAAGATGCACATAAGACTTCAACCACACTAGCCTCTTTGTTGTTTCTCAAGCTTGCCAAGCACACTCCCCACCTAGGGTCCTTGCACTTATTGTTCCTTTTGCCTCTTGACTACCCTATATAAAATAAGTGACTTCTCCTATCCCTGTTACACTGTCTCTCTTTATTTTTCTTCAAGAATCTGTAAACTACCTGACATTTGCTTGTTTACTTATTTATTGCTGGGTTCTCCTTCTAAACTTCTGTGAGGGTAAGCACATTGTTTCCTGCACTAGCAACACAGCCTGGCAAGTAAAAGGCATTATGAGGCACATGATGGACATGCAATATATATGTTTGAATTAATGAATGAACTGTCAAAGCAAATACTGCTCTTTACTGCAAAGAGCTTTGGTCTGATGTCAGGAGGCCAGTGTGTGGAACTTCTGGGGAAGTGACTCAACTTCTCTGGGTCCTGGTTTCTATATTTATAAAATAAGAATAGTAACATTTTTCCTGCTTTCTGCATAAGATTGCTGTTTGTAAAATATGCAAGAGACATGGACAACTTTAACCTTTTGCACATGTAGGCCAGGATCATATAAAGAATTAATTTAGGCAGGTGGGAATTTCTCAAACATTTAAGTTTTCACCCAAAGTGAATTTCGCATAAATACGATTTTTATGACTCTTAGTTTTCCATGCAAACTTCCTTATGAAGTAGCAAAAAAGAGTAGGAAAATTTGGATTCTCCTGAGCATCTTTTAATGGGCACATTGGGTCCTCCAAGTCTTAGAAGGTGACTGCCAGACTGTGCTGCAGAGGAAAGATACAAGAATACATTGCCTTTTGTGAGAGCTTCTCAATGATTTTGAGCCATGGATCCTTTTTGATAAACATAAACCTTTCATTCTCCCATTGTACTACTATGCTGTAGTAACAAAATTACATTTAATTTTGAAATAAACCATGCACTCATTTTAAACCAAAACATGTATGCTTATGATGTGCAGTAGAAATAACCATGTAAAGTGTTATATACACACGAGCAAGGTGTAGCTAACAAATGGTCAGTGATTATAGAGTTTGCTCAGAATAGGTTCTCATTCTATCTTCTGTTAACTCCCATTTTCCAAGAAGGTTTGGTTGACCTTTAGTTTCTATATTTTTATTGTAGGAATACAACACTGCATATGCCTTCAAACTGTAAACTGTACTTTAAAACTATGCTTACTCCTTTCCTCAGTTCTAGACCCTCAGTCATGGCCTTCAGATACATCCTTTTTCCTGTTCAATTTTGGAAAATTAAATATCATAAAGTGGTAAGGATGTTTTCTATTTATAGGATTGCTCATCTACATTTAAAGTGAGAAGTTATTCTTTAGCTATTTTTAATAAATAAATCTAGATTTTCATTCAGTAAGTCTATTAAAAATTATTCCTAATAATCTACTCATATTATAGAAAATTTGAAAAATGTAGATAATGGAAATGAGAAAAAAACCATCCACAGTTTTATAACCTAAAGACAATTATTATTGAAAATTAAATTGATGTTCTTTTATATTTTAATTTAAAATTGCTATGTAAATGCACATGTGCTCTTACATTAATTATATTCTGATGAGTTTTCCACTTACTATGAAAAAAAACCCATTCATATATAATGTTCTTACAAAGGATTTTCAAACATTATTTTTAATGGCTGCATGATAGTCCAGCAAGTGAGTGTACTATATTTTCCTTAACCACACATCTATTTTTAGATATTTGAATAATTCCTTTTTTGGTTATTATAAATTCCATTGTGATTCATATTTCAGTCCTTAAAGTTTTATTTGCATTTTTGATTAGTTCTTTATAATAAATTTAAGACATGCAATTTCTGCCCTGGCCGGTTTGGCTCAGCGGTTAGAGCGTCGGCCTGCGGTCCTGAGAGACCCGGGTTCGGTTCCCGCTAAGGGCACGTACCTCGGTTGCAGTTTGTCCCCGGCCCTGGTTGGGTTGTGCGGGTGGCAGCCACTCGATGTGTTCCTTTCGCATCGATGTTTCTCTCTCTCTCTGTTCCTCTCTCTCCCTCCCACTCTACCTGAACAAAAAAAAATGGAAAAATGTCCTCGGGTGAGGATAAAAAAAAAAAAAAAAAGACATGCAATTTCTAAGTCAGAAAACATGAACAGCTTAGGATTCTTGATGCATATGTGATCAAATATTTTTTCCTAAATGATTTTTCCAATTCATAGATATGCTCACCAATAATGCATGGCAGTGTTCATTTCACTACAACGTCCCTAGAAATGGGAATTTTTAAAAAATTCTCCTTGAAATTTGGTGTTTCACACTTTGTTTCATATTTCTTTGATTAGTCTTGAGTGTCTTTTATATAATTGGTAAGCTGCTGTAGTTCTTCATGAATTAGCTCTTTGTGTACTTTGCCTACTTAATCATTTGGATTTCACTATTTTTCTTAACACATTATGGGTTTTTATATACTAATCCTTGATCTTTTGAAAGCATCTTTTAACTCAGTTTGGTGTTTGCCATTAATTTTCTTTGACACACAAAACATTAACATTTTTAGTAGTCAAATTTGTCACCCATTTTCTCTGTTTGATTTCTTTCTTTGCTTCCCAGCTTAGACAGTTCTTTGTCCTCCAGAGGTGTCATGAAAGTTCACTTCAGTTTCTGTTATAAATTTATGGTTTGTTTAGTTTATGTTTAACTCTTTAATTCAATTTAGAATTTTATTTTAATGTGAAGAAAAAATGTAATTTGATTTTGTTTTGAAATAGCTAACAATGTTCTCAATATAATTTGTAAATAGAACTTCCATTCCCCATTGATTTATTAGCCTCTTTTAGCATATATTAAATTCTTACATATAATAATTATTGTTTTGCAACTTTCTATTTAGCTCAATTGAATTTTTTATTCTTGTATTACCATCACTATAACATTGTAGGGACAGAAAAATAAATTTTCCTTCTGTCCTAAATTATTCTATTACATATGTACATACAGGGTTTCATAAGAACATGAGATCTGAGGACACACTGGGCGTTTACATGCCATTCTGGACTAAGGAGGGAGGGGCAGGAGTCTGGGGCTTCAAAGGGAAAGTAAACAATTCACAGGTAGATGAGAAACAGCAAACATGAGGTAAACAAATTCTTGCCTAGCTACCCAGAAACAATGAGAAACAGAGGGGAATCTAACAGACATTGCTTGGATCCTCCCTGTCTGCCACAGTTTATAAGTGCTAAAGTAAATATGTAAAGATTCCCTTCCTGAAGCACGTTTTTTTGTATCTGAATTCCCTTATGCAAACAAGGAGGAGGTAAAAAACAAAACAAAAACACTTCTTGAGTTTGTTGGGTTTT